ACTTCCATTTCTCAGCTGGAAGAAAGGAATACTTTCCACTCACAGCAAAAAACTAGGCATTTCTAAATAGGTACTGGAGCCCAGGTTAGGCTATAAGAGGTTCAGATGGCATAGCTAGGTAACCTACAAGATAAATAAGACTATGATAGAGGCTACTAAGAAGAGTGATAGGAACAGGCAGTAAGAACACCAGTTTAACAGAAAGTACTCTCTCTTCCTTACACCAGACTTTCACATATCACAAAAAATGTTGTTAAAATTAAATCAGATTCACAGAAGCTTAGCTTTTAATTTGTAGCAGAAAATGTTGAGGGAAAAAAAATGTAAAAGAACAAAAAGAAAGCAGAACATGAAATCAAAACCCCTCTGAGATTGTTTTTCTCCCAGGCAAACAATGCCAGAGTCTAGTAATCACTCACTTCATTAGCTGAAGCAAAATGTAACAATTTAAAGTGCAAAGGTGGATTTAGAAATACCAGCAATTTGTGTCTCTTGACAGGTGATGGACTTTGCCCTTTGCCAGAGCCTTAGCATGAGCACATTGAACATTGCAACAACCAGGGAACATGGATGGGACCTGCTGGCAAGCTAAGAAGTAGGCATTTGCTCATAATGACACTACAAATTTATGTACAAACATTTTTTGGATATTTGAGGTTTTCAGTAAGTTAAAAAAAATAAAATAAAAAGGTATTTTGCACAACAAAAGCTTCTCTCATCCTTGCATTCCTGGCATTCTTTATATAAAGCTATCTTTGGTTGTCATTGCTTTTGCTAATTGGGGATTTCTAATAGATCACAGTTGATGTTTAATCTCACCAGACATCTGTCAGGTGGTAACATTTCTTGAAAAAAAGTGAGACAAAAAACCAAACTCTGCTAGTAATGATCATGTTTTCTTTACTGTTTTCTCCAATTGTACTCCAATTATCAGGCTGTATTTCACTACTATTAATCATACAATTACGAAAAATAAGACTGGGTGAACTACTTCATAGTTGAAATAGTACCAACTACATTCAGTGCAATAAAAAGATGGCATATGTACAGACACATATGGGGGGAATTGTATGTGTCAATGGTTACCAGTCACTGCATTCATAGAAATGGGAAGTATTCTTGACAGGATTCTTCACGGCCATACTATTTAAAATATGGTAAGATACATTTTGTAATATCATAAAACATTACATATGTGTTTTCAAATTTTCTCACAAGAAGCCTTACAGATATCATTTGCTTCTCTCCAAAAGTGATGCATATATAATGCTACAAAGGCTGTATCTTACAACTGAAGATACTACATAACCGATACCAGTGTCTGCATATAGACATTTATATATATATTATATGTTTTATTTAGTCATATAGGCTATTCACATACAAACTTCATGGCCATAACCTTGGCCATAACCAAAGAGCAAATAAGAAGTATCTGTAAATAGAGATGTTACAGTCCAGTTATTTACCCTAATCCACGAATCATCAGTTTCTCTTCCTCCTTCCCCATTCTGACACTAAGCAAGGAACGGATTTGGCCAAGGGATGCCAGAAGATTGATTGTGTCTTCCACAGAAACACTATTTATGGTGTAGGTCTTTGGTAGTGCTCGAACCAGGCCACCAATACCATCATATTGGCGATGTAGTAATACAAACATGGCCCTCACTAACTCCGGGTCTTCTATGACTGATTCCTGGGCCCAGCGTACCATTGTGTCTGAAATCAGCTGCTGAAGAGTAGCTGTGAATAAAACACATGTATCACAAAATTACCATTAATTGCTCATCTCTCTACTGGTAGAGTAGTTCCCTCAGAACCCATTATGCAACATGAATTGGAATGAATTCAATTCGTGAGAAGCACCTTTTTCTTTAGGAGACTATCAAAGGAAAATAAAATCACGCAAGAGAAGCAGAAACATCTCAAAACCAAAAGCCTATTTAAAATGAAAATACAGGAAAAACATAAATAATTACCAAGACATACAACATGTTCACAAAGTCACCAGGTTTGTCTCTAAATATTGCTTTCAAGATTTTTCCAGGAATTCACATCTGAGGGTTTTTCTTACATATTATGAAGTAAGACTGGAAAAATATAGTGGTAGCACATGTAAGTGCTGCATTATTTATTTACATGTCGAAGCTCTGTATCCACTCAAAATTTTATAATGTGCAAACTAGAATAATTTAACTTAGGCCTTTGTCAAAACTAAAGGCCCTTCAAAAGAAATAGAAATTAAGAGACTCCAATAAAATAAATGACAAATCATCTTTTGCACATTTTGAATTCAGTCTCTAATGAAGCAAAAAACTCATATCTGGTATTCTCACTGACAATCCTTATTAGTTGGGATATATATATATATATTTATGTTTGGGAAAGTCATATGTTAAAATAGACAAGCTATATAATGTCACTTAAGATTTGAGACTACCGTTTAGAAAAATTATTCATGAACTAACAGTCAAAGTATTTGATAAAGACAATTGGATAACATTCTTTTTCCCATCTCCAGGAAATTCCATTCAGGTTTGCAAGGCTTTTGTCAGATCAATTCAGGATCCTCTTGAGGTATCCTGAGAGTTATACACTAGAGAATTTCACCGTTAGTACTTACCTAACTAATCAATTTATTTCCATGTCAAGTGGATAACAGCATGTTTGACAAGGGAAATTTGATAATCCCTCTTGAATTTCAATAAACTGCTTAATAAACATCCTGATGTTGAAGAAGGTGGCTGGTGCAGACCAAACATCAAAAATATTTTAAAATTAGAAATCTATGTGTTGAGACAGTAACATGATTTTGGAGTTAACTAGATGCAATTTCAGGCTAAAATCAAACAATAAAAAAAGTAGAAGTACTTAAAGAAAGATATTGAGGGGACAGGAGTTTACAGAAAAGAGAATGTTTAACAAAGAAGAGAATTTGTGCTAAGATGTGCTAATACAGTGTAAAGGAAAAAAAAGAGCAATAGTACTGTATTTCATTGTTACTGTCCAAACACTGTACTATAGGTGTATCCATTGTCATACAGGATAGCATTTTTTAGAATAAACACACTTTAAAAATAAGTAAAAGGATGAAATATGTTTGGGTTGATATTTCAGAAGGACTGAAATAAATAACAAGAAGGGACACAAAGTAAGTTTCCTTTGGTTTTTGTGAAGAATCACATGAGTAGACTGCCATTTGGTTCCTGTTTTGATAACTGCAATACTGCATCCCACCTACCTGTGGGTCTGGCTGTTATCTTGCTTGCAATGAAGAACCCAAGCAGCCTAGCCATCGCAATACTATTTAATTAGTTTAATATAATACTGTCTTTCTACAAACATGAGAGAGAATTAGATTTTGTAGAGCTTTAAGCTTACTACAAGAAAAAAAAAATAGGAAAATGTAGGATTCATCACCACATTCTGCAGAGACCTAGCCTCTAATTGTCACTGCCTCATAACTGAAACAACAGTTAGAAACTGCAAAGCTAGAAGGTTAGAAGGACAAATATATTTCTACTTGAAGAACACTAACACTAAGAAGCTATCTCATTATAAGTACCCTGTAGAAATCTCATCCCATAACTTTAGGCACTTACATTAAGCAAAGAAGTTAGAAGGTGAGTCTCCCTAGGAATTCTGTGTAGTCAATGATGGAAACCATTTTTTTTCCAAAGTCAGAACACCTAAACTTTGTGCCCAGAAATTCATTCCTACTAGTAGGGTAGTAGCATAAAAAATTAGGACATTTGAAAGTGACACCCACCATAATAAAAGTGAAAAAAATTATAAAAATAAAATCAGCACTGACAAGTAAAACTAAATAAAATTCCCTGATCAGTTGGCACCAAGTGCAGAACTTGGATGACACTGGCAATGATTCTTATCAAGATGGAAAGGCAGAAAGCATCAGAAAAATGACAGAGCAACAATCACAGTCAGCAAATCTTGAATTTTAGGTTGGGGGGGGAGGTTTCTTTTAAGTAGAGCTTTGCAAATTACAGTCTAATTGCGGAGTATTCTTTAATTTGGTAATCTTTGTGCAAATACTGATTTGAAGCTGCTGCAGCTGATTTTATAAGCAAGTTCTCATAATCAAGACCTTGGTGCAATTGTTAAGTCTTCACTAATTCTACAAAAAGCAAGATACATTCTGGAAAAATTACGACTTGAAAAAGGATCAAGGGCAAAAAAGCCAGTTGAAGAATTTTCCACTACATCCCTCTGGTAAACAAATCTGCCTATCATAAAACTCCATCTGAGCTTGTTTTGAGTCAGAGCTAAAAAATGCAAGGTGCACAGATGTTTCACTAAAAATCCACCTTATTCTGGCTGAAAACGCATGAACAACTTCCTCCCTTGCTTCATTTGCCTTTTGGAATTAGGATACAATAAACTGATTTAATTTTGCTTACAGGATGTCTTAACATCATCATCAACTGGCTTCTCAGCTTGCTTCTTCTTCAGATATGTAACTTTTTCCATAAGGTATAGGAGGCGCCCCCTAATGGTTAAATCACTGTTTCCATCCAAGCTTCCATCTTCATCTAGTTCAATTCCTGAAATAAAAAATACACACTAAATAGTGAAAGAATACAAACATAAACTGAACTATGTTGTTCCGCTCTGTTAGAACTACAAAAGAGCTTGCTTTGGGAAATGTTTAACCAGCAGTTTGGAACATGTATAGATCAGGTATATGTGCAAGGCAGGAAACTACAGATAAAGATCATGTAATCTTCCTAATTTATTGTATAAATAGTGTGTTATTATATATAAAACATATAGTAAATATATTTCTGTGGTCAACTGCCCCAGTATGCATGTTTCCATGCAAACGCCAATGCCTGTGTTTTGGACATATGCAGCTCAGAAGCGTAAATACAGGCCCTACTGACACAGTATGAGTCAACTGATACTAGTTGACTAGGAGGTTTTTAGGTAAAACATATCATAGAAGTGAAATAATTAAAGTTACAATAAATATACTTTCTACTGACCAGTCAGAAGAAAGTAGCCACCTTCACAATACAGTGGTTCTTTCATGATATTCCTTTAATAAGCAAAATGCAGCAAAAATGCATGTAAGGCTTTACAGAATCACAGAACAGCTGAGGTTGGAATGAGCCTTTAGAGATCTTTTAGTTCAGCCTCCCTGCTCAAAGCAGGTTTAAGTAGAGCAGGTTGCTCAGGACCACATCCAATCAGGTTTTGAATATCTCCTAAGGTAGAGACTCCACAACCTCTCTGGACAATCTGTTCTTGAGCTCCATCACTTAAAAAAAAAAAAAAAATTAAGACTGATTTCCTGTATTTCAGTTTGTGCCCATTGTCTTTTGTGCTGACACTAGGCACCACTGAGGAAAGTTTGGCTCACCCTTCTTTACTCCCCCTGCCCAATAGGTATTTATATGCATTGATACAACCCTCCCATGAGCTTTCTCTTCAAGTTAAACAACCCCAGTTCTCTCAGTCTCTCCTTGTACAAAAGATGCACCAAGAATTTAGTCATCTATGATGGCCCCTCCCTGGACTCACTCCAATGTGTCCATGTCTCTCTTGTACTGGGTAGCCCAGCTGTTGGCTTTCTTTTCCCCAAGGGCCCATTGCTGCTCATGCTAACTTTGTTGTCCACCAGGATCCACAGGTCCTTTTCTGCAAAACTACTTTCCAGTTTGGTCCCTAGCCTGTCCTTGCTGCATGGGGGTTATTCCTCCCTGGTGCAGGACTTTGTGCTTCCCATTGCTAATCTTCATTGCAGAGGATTGAAAAATCTTGATCTACACCTATTAATCACACTAAAATAAGCTAAAGTAAAAAGGTCATTCAACTCTTCTTTCCGGGTTTTTTAGTTTCCGATAGAAATTCTAAAGTTAAAGGGTTTGTGAAGAGTTCTTTAGCAGTCTTGAACTTTACAGGATGTTTCTTCATGACATTACATTATTCTTTACAATTTATTGCATCTGGTTTTAATTATCTAATTTTTTGCTTTAAGTACAGTTCCATTTCCATTAAAAGTTATTTTGTTATATTTTTTCCTAAGAGAGTAATTGATGCTAAACTAAACAAGGATCATCAGTAACCTAATATTTTCCAGTAAATAATATTACAAAATGGTTTGGATGGCAGTCTCTTCAACCAAACTAATTAACAGTAAAGACACCAAAATATCTTCTCAATTAGAACACAGAGATGCTCTGAAATTATGCAAATAAAATGTAGTTGTACTTTTTGGATTTGCAAACTGTCAATATAATTGTGTCTCAACCATCTCACAAGACGTGAATCCCCAAATGGTGGCTGGCTAATCAACTAAACATAGGACTCAGGATGTGTAATTGTTTTACCCATTTTGCAATAGCCATGTTTTGAATACGTAATTAATTTTGCTCAACTGTAATGCATCCTTTGACCCAGAAAAATAATTTTCTACTTGTATATTATGCAAATTACTATTTCCCCATAAAGAAAAGAAAATTAATGACAAAACTAAACCAAGTAATTTGAACAGAATGATGGTAAATGACTAAAGAAAAATAGAAAAATCAAAGAGAAAGATAAAGCCTCTTCTTTCAAATGTTATTTCTAAATTCTTTATTTCATCTTTGTTTTCTGTCAACTGGCAGTTTATTTGAATTTTCCTCTTTTTCTTTTTTCATTTTTCATTTAAAATAAAAATATTTAGGTGTCATAATTCACGTTCATCAAGTTAGTGGATGATACAAATTGAAGGGAGCAGAAAACACACTCAAGGGCAAGAAGCTCAACAGGGTAAAGGAAAAGGCTGACAGGATATTCAGAAGTTCAGAAAGGACAAAAGCAAAGATTTGCAACTTGGACAGACCAACCCCATGTGACAGTACAGGCTGGGCACGAACAATTTAAAAAAACCCCATCTTTGCAAAAAGAACTTTCAGGGTCCTGTTGGACAGCAAGCTAGACACCAGTCAGCCGTGCACTCTAACTGCAAGGAGAACTAAAAATATCCTGTATTAGTAGAAACAATCACTAGCTCAAGGCAAGTGATTATTTCCCAGTACTCAGCATTCATGCGATGACATCTGGAGTACTACATCCAGTTTTCTGTTACCCAATACAAGAAAAACATTGACAAGCTGGAGAGCATCCAACAACGCCCCATCAAGATGACTGCTGGCTGGACCACTCATCCTAAAAGGAGAGGATGAAGGAACTAGGTTTATCAACCTGCAGAACATAAGCTTTACAGTGGACCTAACAGCAGTCCACCAAAACCTACAAGGAAATTAGTATGAAAATACAGCCATGATCTTTCCTGAGATGAACAAGATACAATTGTCAAACTGAAACAGGCAGGGTTCCAAACAGATATAAGGAAAAAAGACACTCAAGACCTGTGACATGTTGCCCAAAGACATTGTGGAATCTCTGTTTTCAAGACCCATGTGCAAAAATCACTGAGCAACCAGGTCTGAGTTCAGCGTTGACTCTGATTTGAGTAGAAGCCTGCACTGAAGACCTACCTGAACAGATCTGTGATTATTTTAGTAGCAGAAATGGACCAATCTAACAAAATTGTCTTGTGATACACAAGGATATCAACTGTGTTTGCTCTACCAAGAAAGAAAATTCATGTATTATGAAGTCAGATATTGATGGCATGTTTTTATTTATTTGAATATTTTAAGGTAGTGAATTGAATAATTAAATGTTACTTCCAGTTAAACTGGGATCAATAAGGGATGCAATTCAGGAGGAAAAGTGTGAAGATCCTCCTGTCCAAAGCGCCTTCCTTGACCACAGTATTAGCTTAAAAAACATTATCACACATCCCTGCACTATTGTAACTTCATGCTGTCTGCTAAGTGTCTTTTTTACTTCTTTTTTTAAAATAGTGTACTGAAGTAAAATGAAGGGATGAGTATCCTCCAAACAGGAAAGCAATGAAGTCCTCAATGCAAAATGTAAGTAAGCATGCATTCCAAAATAAACTGCTCTGTAACTGAGTTTGCAATATTCATGGATATGAGCTTGACATTTAAAATACACATTTTGGTGCTTAATTTGTGTATTGGTATTTTTGTATTTAAGTTGTTACTATATTTCACTTTTTAATATGACATAGAATTTAATTGGTTTTTATTAACTGAAGTGAAGAAATCAAAACTACAGAAATTTAACTGCTCCATTTGATTATTGGCCTATTTCAACAGATAATAAACTTCTAGATCTTCATTCATGTCTGAGAAGAATCAGCCACGAATATTATGTTATATTGTGGTTAACATGGCCATAGTCAACTTGATACAGCAAAGATGACCTATACCAACCTATGCATGGGAGAGCAAGGGAAAGGGGATAGGGTAGAAAAACCCCTTGAGTAACAAGTGAGCTATGGCGTTATCCAGTACATCAAGCCCAGAAATTACCACCTAGTTGGTAAAAAAAAAAAACAACCACCTTTTCCCTCATGAAGCAAAATATGGTGTATTCCCTTCTAGTTTGACCAGATATGAGGCTAAGAACATTTTGTTGGTTTCAACAACAAGCTGAGTATCTTTATTTGATAGCATTTATAACTGTATAGTGTAATCTACAGACTTGGTGTTTCTTATGTACAGTTATTTAGAAAAATTGCTTTGAAAGGTAATATAATTTAAAAAGTAAAAATATTCAGTAACAAGACTTACCACAGTGTGTCATTAGGTCTTCATGGAAATCCAAAAGCTGATCCCGAATTTCTTCAGGGCAAGGACAATCATTTTTATCATCTTTAAAGTTCAGCAGCATGTTAATCTTAAAGAATACAAAGCAAAGGCAAATGACACTGATCTCCCAGAGGAAAAACTTTGAAATCAAACAGAACTCTGCCACACATAGAGCACAACAAAAAAATGAATTGTCCATTTTAAGCTGTACCTGTTCCTGAGGTGGGGATCGAAATTCTTTTGTTTTTCTAGCTGTCAGGGCAGCAGACATGTTCAGGGCCTGCATCACTTCATTGTATCGGAAGCGTTGATTCTCTTGAAGCTTGGCCACAAAATCATCCGAAAATGCTACAATGGCTTCTATTCGGTGTCGTACTTGGCAATCACACAGGTACTGGAGTAGATGACACATCTGAGAAAACAGTATCATAAGAGAAACCTAAGAAATATATTCTGTATATTATGCAAATAAGGATGGATTCCCTACAGCAGAATTTACTATCAAATAAAGAGACTGAAATCTTTAATACTGTCATTTACTACATGTGAAGTAATCCCACACCAGGAATATCTGACCTCTGCAAGAGATTTATGTGCCTCAGACATAAAATGTAAGACTTTTATTAAAGTTATAAGAGAATGCATTTACTCCTTGCTTCTAGGGAATTTCTGTTCTGTTTGGATCCATAAAAAATAAGAATTCCTTATTAATATCATTGAGAAAGTAATTCTATTTAATCAAACAACAATTGTTTGATCTATGGTGTATGAGTTTATATCATCAGGAATCTTCTTGTTTCCTGTAAGGAAATTACTTCTCTATTTAACTAACATCAAAATGCTGTATTCCTTGAAATAGAACTTACCAAATGAAGAAAAAAGAATCTGTGAAGGAATAGGAACAACCACTATCAAAGCAGTATTGTTACCTGTAATTTAACAGGTTCTGGAAGTTTCATCTGAAGGAGTCCTTCCTTTGGCACTTGCTCCCCTTTGGTTTCTTCCTCTCCTTCTTCTGACTTGAGCTCACCTGAACTCAGCTCCTTCTCTGAGAAATCAACTTCATCCTCCTGGCTCATTGCTTCTTTGAAAACCCGGGGCTCAATCAACTGCAAGATGTGTTTCAGATCCCCATTGTGGAAGATTCCCATAATTAGGAGGGTATAAAAGAGCTTGATGAGAGGGACAAACAGAAATTCTGTAGAACCTCCAACTGGATCTCTGACATGGAGGCTGCCCTCCTGAACAGCTTCGGTCAGCATCTCTATGGTTTTGGTCTTTAAGATTTCCAAAGGGAATTCAGGACTGAACTGAACGCATTCACTGCTAATGCTTACAAAACTCGGAGAGGAGAACTGCATTCTTGGCCTTAATGAAGTGCTAAGTCCTATACCAGGGAGGCCATGTTTTTTGTTTTCATCAGGAAACAAAGTAATACTCTTGGTCTCATCTGTCATTGGAACTATAAATTCATTATTCATCATTAACCTTGCAGTTGCATAGGTATTGAGATGGATGTCAATGAGTAAATCATAATATCCTGCACGTAATAATCCTGGCATATATTTATTCTCAATAGCATACAGGAGCTGAGATTCATCCACATGGCTACACATAGCATGGGCCACTCGATTGTTGCCTAAAGCACAAACTGCTGAATATAATCGGAGGGTATGGTAGTGAAATTTCAGTAATTCTTCTTGTTCTGTCAGCTCTAAAATATCAATTGTTCTGCAGGGAAAAAAAAACAACAAAACAATACAGTAAATTCTGTATCAGTGCAAAAACCTACTTAAGTGAAGGAATTCAAAATTCTCCCTAAGGATAACATTGGCACAGTATCAGTTCTAGGGATGTACTTTTTCCACATTCCAGCTTTCATGTGAGAAACATTGTCAACCTAAGAATCAAGGACTAATAACAAAGTTCAATCAGGAATTTATTCAAGTCACTCCTAAATTACAACTTCGATTACTTTCAGTGGGGAAAGATCAAAATTATTTACTTAACACAGAAATACTTCTTCATCCTACAAACATCAATTTGGATAACTGAAAATGAAGGTTTTTGTATGGGTTGAGATATTTATATAATTTATTGGGTTTAGATCTCGGGTTGCAAAATGGCAATAGGCTAAACAGTTCACTTGCAGAGGGTTCAGGGGTGGAGTTGTTTGTTTTGAATTCTTACCTAATTTTTTAGTGATTTTATTTTCAGTTTTGCACTGGCAAAATGCTGAGACATTTGGGTAACAAGGAAATCACAAAGTTAATTTTCTTGAATTGTTTAAACTGAAATTGGGAAAATTAAAGTAATGAAATAATTAAATTGTTCAGAAATTTAAAAAAATCTCTACAAAAACAGATCTTTGCCTATATTACTGATCATCTTAAATAATTTATAAACAGAGTTACTTTCATTTTCATTCAAGATCTAGACATACTATTAAAGAGTTTGGAGAGAAACTAGGAGAGGCTGGAAATATAACAGAAGGAGGCAGATTTTTAAATACCGAAAAATAAGATTAAGCTAGCTCTGATATACTTCAACACACAAACATTAACCTGTTTTCTTCGGGAATATGAAGGGCCATGAACTGCAAAGGATTCAGACACTGTATCATCCAGCCTTGACGTTCACTAATCCGAGACACATCAACCTTCAAGAAGTGGTTTGGCACTCTGCTCCAAAGCACATGAGTCAGAAATTGGACATGGAGACGTGGAGGACATTGAGAGACTGGGTTTTTGTGTTCACTTTTGAATAAGCCAGCAGATAATGGCATTACATTCTGGAAAATTCCAATAGAAGAGACAATCAGCTTCATCATCTTTACTAAACAATGAATATATTATATTTTTCAAGAAATATATTCAACATATAGTACAGTAAAGTACAGTGCAACAGGAAATTAACATTTTCACTGGTTTATAAAACCAGCTGGGAACTGTTGGCAGACTAGCAGCAAGAGAGCATTGTCCATAACAATGGTTTTTAGATAGCTACATTTGAAATAGAAACTTGAATGGAATGTGTGGTCACTTCTTGGACCAGAGATCTGAACTCCATTATTCTTTTACCTCTTCTGATGTCTCAGATATCCATGTATCCAAAGCAAGGAAGTAAATTTCATCTGTTTTCTTGAGTGTACTGTTTCAATGTACTTTACAACTATTTTAAAACCCCAACCTAATCTGCAGATACACCGGTCATGCATGTTCTGTTCATAGAGTAAGAGATTTGCCTTACTGACCTCAGTGATGTAATTTCATCATGAAGGATGAGATTCAGAAAATGCAATGAGACTTTACAATCTCCTCTGCCAATCCTAATCAGTTACAACCCTTCTCATCCAATGTACTGTACGTTAAATACATGAAGTATTTAAAACTGAGCTAAGAATAAAAATGGCAATAGTGCAAACACTTGGAATCATAAAAATGTACCCAGGATGAAGAACACATTGCAAGCAACAAATGGCCAAAACAACAACAACAGCAACAACAAAATAGTATTTGATGTATCAGTCCCCAACCTGCAAAAATCCAAGGATTATTTACCTTTATTCTTCCCAACTCAAACTGGAAAACATTGGGGCTTGTAGCTTGTGCAAATACAGCAGGAAATAACTTTGTACTCGGTTCAACCTAAATCAAAGATGCACAAACATATATAGAACCATCGAAGACAGCAAAACCCCGTTACATATTAAAAAAAGAAACTAATATCTGTATTGACAGTCAATAAGTGCAAGCCTTTGAAAGCCCCAGAAAATCCAAATAGGAGGGAAAAATCACTGTCAGAAGAGTGACAATTAGTTTTTCTTCTAATCTTATACAAAAGTTTCTAGTAAGATGCAGTCTGAGGATTCAGTTTTCACCCTTCCTGCTGGAAGACATCATCAAAAAATACTCACCTGATAGTATGTGCCTAGTTCCTTGCCATTAGCTGTGAAGGTCAGCAGGCCACTGGCAGCATCAACCAAGCAACCAATCTCCAGACCATTATTATTACGTCCTTGTCCAGGGCTCATGCTCTCTCCTGCGCACACCATATAGCAGTTGCTGCGTTTTATACTGAATGTCAAAAGACAAATTTATTTATGGATGGTGTGTAAACTTTATGTAGTGGATTAAGAACAACTTTGTATGGCTGCAACCAACAGGGCCTTGTGGCTGAAAACAGCTGATGCTGATCCCATGATAACCAATGCCAAAATCCAATTAAACCTAGACTTCATAATTGAAAAAATAAAAATTGAAGACGACAAAATACGAACACGCTCAAATCTTTTGTAAAATTCCAAGAGACAAAACTTACTTTGCAAGTTAATGTTTTAAATCATTTGATGTTAAGCATAGCACAAAGTTTCTGCTATGGATCACAAGCTGAAGTGCTGAGAGGAGCTGTTGTACTAATTTTGGCCTGCTCAAACCCAAGAAGTTCCAAAAATACTACAAGATTTTTTGCTCTACTTTGTACCAGTTCAGAATTCAGTATTTACAGGATCATGGTCTGAAACTACATAGAAAAGCTGTGCTATTTTACTTTGCTGGGCCTGTTGATTTGATTAGATAATTACTCCACTATTTTTTCACAAGCAAGAGGGAGAGCAAAAGTAAATTTACATTTTTTCTTTTTCTTTTTAATATCAATCTAATTATATTAGGAGGGGTGGATTTAGAGTTTATAAATGTTTAGTTGCTTTTACGAATATAAAATATGTATCTGTTTAAGAAAATTGTAACCAACCTCTCATGAACCTTCCCTTTTTCATCTCCCAGTGTAACTGTGACAGTACGCACTCTGTCCAAGTCAAAGCTTGTATCATACTGGTGAAAGTCAGATGTAATCCAGCCCACCCAGACATTAGCAGGTTCTTGACCAGGAAATATTCTCACTGAATAATAGTACTGTCAATATAAGAAAAATAATGCCAGTAAATGTTAGTATTTGGTTTCCAGTGTATCAGTTTGATTCAGAATTAATTTGTCGCTCTAAAATCTGAAAATATGTCATCTCTTCAAAAGTAGCATAGGCTTGTTCAAGTGCAATTCATTAGCAAAGCAACAAAAGAATATAAACACAAGTCAAAATACAGCCATCAAAACATATATGTTAAAACAAAAAATGGAAAATATTAAAGATGCAGCTTATACACTTCTAGAGTAGGCTTCTGCATTGTACGCTATTTTTGTACTGCAGCTACAATTTTTATACTGTACGTTTCTAGTATCTACTATCAGTTTCTAGTATCTTTTAGAAAGAGGAGAATACATCCAAACGAGAAATATATTTTCCTTTGAACATTGAAGAGTGGGTGCTTATGGAGCTGATCTTGTCAGAGAAAGACGCACAAAACCTGCACAAACTTTCACTGGGAATTCCATTAAATAAATGCTGAGTAAAATTATGTTTTCAAATGTCCCTGAACATTGACATATTAGTTTACTGATTTTTTTTCTATTTATTCCATTATTCTAGAACTATTTATCTCTTATGTTTGGTGTTATTAATAGTAGTTCAAAAAATTGCTTCAATTAATTTATGGCTTTCCATGTGGAAATTGTTTTAGACTGACAATCAAGTCAAAACAAAAGGAACAGAGCAGTCTCAACTTCAGTAGTACAAGACTACCACAGACATTCAAGTTAAAAATTTTGACTGAAAACTTTAGTTTCTGAAACTCTTACAAGCAAACTCATGTAATTATTAAAAAAAAAAAAAAAGAAAAAGAAAAAGCAAAGAGCAAAAATACCAATCCTAGGTTACAATACCGTGGAAGTTTGCATCAAATAATCATAGTCATCCCTATCATCTGCTAGCACATCCTCAGTAAGCCGTGCAGAGTGACTCATGCTATAATCTGGCTTTGTCCTCCTGAGCATAAATCTGTAATAAAATATGTAAAAACAAGATCTATATGAAAAGCTCAATATATCAATATTTATACATAAGGGAATTTTATATTGAAATATTATTCCTGTTATATATATTCTCGTTATTCCTGATATATATTCTGCTAGCCCTAAATACATAGTATTTATTACATTATTAATCCATAAACTAGTTAGTTTATTACCTCCATATAGATTACAACAAAATAAATTCTTCAGAAAAGAGAAAGAGACAAGCTCGTTTTTAAAAACACTTAAATTAATTCAGAGCTTAAACTATATATTCAAAAATTACTTGGAAACTAAGTTCATGTAACTTAAAAACTTATCAGGCTGTTAAAACACCTATGTTGCTTGGGAAGAATGTGGAACCTTAAATGACCTTCATGCATTTAAAAATACCATCCATATGCCATGATTTATTCTGCAATTAAAATATTTACCAAACCAAGTTTTGTAAAGAGGAGCAGAAAAGGAATTGAAAGCTGCAGTAATACTGCCTGTGTAATGGCCCAGTGTTTGGCCACAGCATCATCAAGTTAGGTGTTCTGCTCCTGATTCCATAAGAAAAATTAGGGAGAATGAACTTGTCAACTAGAGAATATTGTTATGATTATTTGGTTCACTGAGTGAGGTAAGAAGCTAGATGGTTTGAAACTGTGCCAGGGCAGGTTTAGGCTAGACATTAGGAAAAACTTCACTGAAAGGGTTGTCAGGCTCTGGAATGGGCTGCCCAGAGAGGTGGTAGAGTCCTCATCCCTGGAGGTATTTAAAAGAAGGATAGATGAGGTGCTTAGGGACATGATTTAGTGGTGGGATGGCAGGGTTAGGTTAAAGGTTGGACTCTATGATCTCAAAGGTCTTTTCCAACCAAAGTGATTCTATGATTCTAACGTACGTTTCTAGATAAAGATTATCTAACACTTTCAGCTTTTTGGAAGCCATGTGAAAAAATATTCTGTGTCTCTTCGAAGACCTCCTAGTTCTGTCAGAATGGATGTCCCTCGTTTTAGAGTGTACTTCACAAGATGATCACAGCCTTCACAATAAATCAAATGATAGGTTGAAAAATGTTTTCATTTTTCTGCTTAATTTTAATCTATATATTGCATATGATGTAATTTAATCACATGAAGGTTAACTGTCCCACCTACTATCCAAATTCAAGGCAAAATTAGGGAAAAATGTCTGCAGACCTAACTGGTATTTTCTTCTACTATTCAAGAAATGGTGGGAGGAGGGAAGGAAAAAAAAAAGCAAAAGAAAAAAAAGCAAGCTAAATGTGCTACTAACCTTTGTTTAAGACGTGAAGGCTTTTCTTGAACATAATCTTTATGGTTGTTTAACTCTGATTTCAGGGCATCTTTTTCTCTTTCTGTCCGGTCAGGAACTAGATGACCATGAGCAGTTTTCATTAGAACCTCAAAATCAGAATCAGCATCATAATCCTCCAAGTCATTCTTCGGGCCAAACAGACCAGAGCCTGGTAACCCTCCTGCAGCTGATCTGGAGAACACCTCAGCACATTCAATGGGCATGCTTAATCGAAAAAACATGACATCTGTTTTGCTGTTCTGCGAACCAAAGGACTTCTGTGTGACCTTCAGGCAGGGGCAGCTGTCTATGGTGCCATCAATTCTCATCACCTATCAGATGTAAAGATGTAGTTGTTTTGAAGCTGATGCTTTTCCCCCCCTTGTAATATTCATTTCTATTATATTTCTAGAATAAGCATCCAGGACTTCCAAAACTTGTAATGTTGTCAATGGTCAAATATATTGTAATCACGTGCTGCCATTTTAAGGGAAAATGAATACTATAAGGAGTGGAGGTTTTTGTTGTTCAATTGTTAGATAAGAGAGACACTCACAAAGGAATGACCTTTCTCATCATAACTCTTTGCAACATAAATCCTACCCTGTCCAGAACAACACAAACCAACTAATTTAAATCATACATGCACATATGCAAGAACACAAATTATTTCTTAAATACTACAGTACGATACACATCAGCTGAAAAAGAGTTCTTACTAAATCTATTTCCGAAGGATTTCCTGGTAGACTTACAAGGCATGAATTCAGTTCCATCAAGATGCACAACTGATTGGGACATAAGTGTTGACACAGTTGGCTAATAAATATTTATTAAAATCAAAACCAATTAGTTATGGAAAAATTACTTCACAAAGTGTGTGCACCAGAACACATGGTATCTGTAATGTAGAAATGCCCAATTTCTGGAAGCTGTTTACAAACATAGCTCTCACTGGACAAGGAGCTCTTAATGAGGACATCTTGTAGAATTTGTCTCTGAGAATCTCATGTTTATACATGTGACAGATTTCATGGATAAAGACATACTATCACACAAATAATTACATTATTTGTAACTCCACTGAATGTAAGAAATTTGTAACAGCTGCAAGGTGCATCCAGAATTGGGTCAACATACCACATTAAAAACATTGTCTAGAAGTGCTAAAGCAGAAACATAATTCAAACATACTCATGGAAGACATGTTTAGAAACTTTTTTAATAGGATCACAAACCTCAATATGTTCATGATTTTGTGGCACTGGTAGAAACTGAGGGAGCCTTTTACTCAGCCAAATGGTGATGTCTCTGTTTGTATTAACAGCAAAGGGTTCATACCCTTCCTGTAAGCCACAGATAGTGAAATATTTTAGAGTGCTGACATCTTTTCCAAAGTTCATTCTTCCCACTTGAGATGGGCCCAGGCTGCACACAGGTAGAAATCCTTAAAACAAGATGAAAGAACACGTGGGTTGTACATCATGAACATCAGAGAAGTGCTCTCTTCCATAACCAAATTAAAAATCATTTGGAAAAAAAAATCCAAAAACCAAATAGTAATGCAAGCAGTCATCGATAGCACATCACCTCTTGCATGTCACAAAGTACTGTATCTCAAATATAATTCTGAAAAAAAAGCTATCCAAGAGCCATGGATCTCTTCATGCAACACAGAAGAATTTACACAGAATTTACTTCACAGAAATCTGAGAGTACTTCAAGGAGTCTGACAACCAGCTCTTGGTTAATCTCTCTGCTAAGCTGGTAGAGTGTTGTCAATTTTACTCTTATAGTCTTATAGTCTTACTATTTTTGATGTTCCTCCTAAAATTCCATTAGTCGTGGTATTTTGAGAGAACCTCAAAAATTACTTTAGAACTAATATATTGCTTGTCCATACAGCTATAGTAGTGAAAAAAATTACAAATATGCACCAAATGCATCCCATAAAAAAAAAGAAAATTAATTAATTAAAAAATTTCATAACACTTTGTAACTCAGGATAATGAGAATTGACAGTATGATACTCTAGTTTCATGAAACTTACAATAGCTTGGTTTTGGGCTGGGTTTTTTGTTTTTACTTTTGAATCAGCTTCACATTTGTATGCATCTGCCCGCTTACTGGTTCACTAGCACAGGGAACACGTGACTCCTTTGCATTTTTTAAAAAACAATTTTTCTCAGGTTCAACATGACAGTCTAAAAACCTAAGAAAATATCTCATTTCTTCTGTTTCTTTTCATCCTGATTTTGAATTTCCACAGCTACAGACCACTTTGTAGATTCATTTGATCTAGCTATTAACAAAATGTTTTCTTTTGTATCAACAAGAAACATGAAGCTCTGTTCAATGATTCTGGTTCAACTGAATGTACCAAGTCCTGAAGGGTGTAAGGACAAAATAAACTAGTTCCTCACCTTTCTTTAGGCTGTCCAGATTAAAAAAAAAAAAGGCAGGATATCTGTTCATGGTATGTTCTTTAGAGACAAAAGCAAACTCCAGAGCACCATCTGCAGGAATGACTGCTCACCAGATAAAAGATGAGCCTTCAGTACTACCAATTGAAGATGATATTACAGATAAAGAAGATTGGTTATGTATGTGCATTAGGCACAATAAATTTCAGGACATACACTATTAGTCTTAAGTTCAAGTCCAGACTTTTATCTTTACAACAAGGCTCTTAAATCACAAGGCATCAACTTCTCAGATAACATGGATGATTTAGGCAACATGATTCATGTCTATTCTGCTAGTGCAAATCCAATAACAGGCAATAATAAAGAGTATTTTCCAGCATTAAATGAAACAAAATCATATTATACAAAACATAACAAGGAAAGTTATATTTGCATATATAGATATATGCTGTGGTAAAGCCCAGCAGCATTAGTAGGGAGAATTTCCATTTCTTATTGATGTAAAACATATTCAGATGTTTCCAGGGTATATGGCACGCACATTACATCTGAAAACGGCCAACACAAATGAAACTGCTTTCTTATCAGCCTCAAAAAAAATAAAATTAAGGGGTTATGATATATACCCCATTATAAGTGACACAGAGAAGATGAACAGTAAATGATTTTTCAATGTCTTTCATAACAAAAATTATGATCAAAGAAACTGGTAGCAAGGTTCAAAACAAAGGAAGGAACTTCTTTATGCAATTCCACAGTAATACTGTGGAATTCTCTGTCACATAGCATCACAGATGCTAAAAGCTCACATGGATTCAAAAAACTGTTTAGGTACCTTCATGTGGGAAAGAAAAAAAACCCAAACAAAAAACATCGGGGCTATTCAACACAAACATACCATATTTGCCTCAGAAAGCTCCTAATCCAGAAATCACTGGAGGCTGGGAAACTGTATGACTAACTGCTTGTCCTGTTCTGGTACGTATCCACAGGCATTTGCTATCCATTGCTCTTGAACACCAAATAGTGACCTAACTAGACTTTTGGTAAACATCGTTATATTTTCATAGAAAACAGAGGAACAAAAGCTTAAAAAAAAAGTGTTCAAAGACAAGGAGATGTAAACTGATCAGTTGTGTGCATGCCATATCTAATTATTTAATTACTTTTATCTTTATATATGAACAATTGTTTTATGTTTCTGCACAGGTCAAATAATTTATGAAAGGAAGTAGCAAGCTCTGTCTCGAGCACCTTGAGAATTAACACATGGCCAGTTCCTCTTTATTACAGCCTTCAAATCAAATGGGAAATAATTGTTTTACAAGACAAAAAAAGCAATAGCAGCTGATATTATCAACAGAATTCAGTAGCATACATTATAGAAAAAACTGATTAGATAATTAGATGCAGTCCAAAATCCAAGAAATTATTATCAACTCTATTTATGAAGACTGAGTTAAATAAAGGACACAAAACTAAATCAAACAGGAATATTTAAAATGTGTGAAATATTTAAAATATTTCTAACATTTACTCTTCCTAAATAGAATGCACATAAACTGTTAACTCTTCTACCTATGCGTTTTCCTGATACTTATGCAATTTCACAGATAGATTCCTTCTTAGACATGAAGCAAATATTCTACACGCACACACACTCAAAAATAAAATGTAAATGAGTATTTGCAAGATTCCCTGAAAGAAAACAAAGAAACCCAGAACAAAATTCCTACACAGGTAAAACTCTCATTGATGTTATTACTCAATCTAGTATTTTCTGTCTGTAACTGTAGCCAATATGGAATCAAGATGACAATCTCTCTCTCCAATACAAATTTCACTGATGCCAGAATGGTACCGTACATGCAGCTAACTCCTGCAAGTAATCATAATTATACAGTAACTGTTGCTCTGTATGAATGGAATATAAATACCAGTGCCAGTCCTAATCATGGAAGCACTACCTTCTGTCTTTGGTGCAATTGTGCACTGATTTGCCAATGGTATAGTTGTCAGTAAGGTGTTTCAGGGCTCTTCCATATCTGGTAAAGATACAGCATCTCATCTTATAGGGAGTGTGCTGGTAGGTGTCTCACTATGGAATACAAATTAACTTTCCGCACCCTTCTCTAAATGAGTATCCAGACATTTTAGATGTGATATTTCACAGATCCTGTGTAGCCCTTGCATGCTGGAGGCTACATAAAAAGATGATTTACCCATGACCTGGCTCTTAATCTCTCTGTGCATAACTGGGCTATGAAGCAAAACTTTTATTTTACTGTATGAAACAGGAAAACAAGTAGAAAGACTTTAACAGTACCACCAGAAAAGTAACCCTCTAGCATTGCCTGTCACATGTGGCAAAAGCATAGGACAGCAACACTTTTTATAATGTTCCTTACTTTCAAGAATACGAGATGAATCTCCTGACCCAATTTGTCCGTTGCTACAAAATCTACTATCTGCTCACAGAGACAATGAGTTGCCAAAACAAAATTTGGTTTGCACAGTGTACTTGTTCATACCTACAGTGTAAAAATTCTCTTATACAAATGCATAATAGTATGCAATTATGTTTAACAATTTTACTACTGAGATGGTATCTCACAAAGTAGTCTGCCATAATCCCAAGGAGATGCTCTTGTTGGCAGTACAACCTAAGACGTAACACATGAGCCTTATTAGTAAGCTGGCAGAGTGCCACATTCCCTTTTCACCGTTTCTAAATAAATTATAACTACAGGACTGATTTATAGTCAGATTGCATCCTTCAAAGCAGGACACTAGGTTCTGACCAGAAATTTTATCTTTTCTCTAAAGCAAAAGGTCTCTTTCTGCAGCAGTACATGTCATGCACACAATTCACTGATAGAAGTGACCTGCAGGAAGGTCTCAATGCTCTTAAGCAAGAGCCATTAACAAAGCCAAACTAAAGCCAGACTACAAAAAAAAGAAATTTCTATATAAGTCATTTAATTTGGGTATTTCATATGTGTGTTTGTATATACACACACACCTATAGATGCCCCTCCTCCCCCCAGTTGTATATGAAATACCCGTAATATTTACAAATACCGATCCAGAGTTACTAAATTTGAGATCAATCAGCACATTCCTTTGAAAACAGAACAGGAGATCTTATTTCAAAGGCAAGCTCTTTCCTACAAAACATGACACTAGAGGAACTTTATGTGAATTAAAAGGATATTGTGAAAAATCTGAGAGGCGTGACACTGACATTAAGTCTTCAACATGGTTACCAAGGCCTTCAGGCCTTGTCAAACCAGGAACTACTTTAGCAGTTTCAGACTTAGAGATCTGTTTAAGTCTGAACCTCTAGCTAGAAACAAGTACCATGAAAACTACACCACTTATTTCATCAACTTTGAAATCAAAATAGTGGTCAAACAGGCTGTTCCCAGAATTTCATGGAATTCCAGTTTCTCTCAGAATCCCTCACTCTTCGATGGGATTATACTGCCTAATAGCTGGAAAACCATTATAATTTAATGGCACCGGGATGATTTTATGCCTATACCACTAAGAGTAAGACAATTCACGCAACCCTTTCCCTCCTCATGTTGCCACAGTATCTAAATAAATCTGAAGGTAGTAAAATAACTGACATGAGTCTAGAAAATTGGTGGCAATTATCTCATTTTAAATGAAATCAAATTATCCCTAATTCCTATGGTACGGCAGAAGAAGGGAAAAATTTTTTTGTCTCCCAAAGCACTCCTGGAAGTAAAATACTCTGAAATCCAGACAAAAGCAAAGCAGTTAAAATTCAAGCAGGGAACGACTTAATTAATAGGTAAAAGATTTGTATTTCCCCTGGGAATAGGGATCAGTAAGCCAAAAGTATCATTTGCAGCTTTTACTGTTCAAAAAATTTAACTTTATCTCTCAGACACAGATGTATTATTTAACAGATATACAATATATACAACAGAATATAGGTACCTACTAGAAATGAAAAGGAAAGATTAAAGCTTTAAATATTTTTTTTGTGTTGGCATAGTCCAGAAATTTTAGGCAGTTATCAACATTAATGTAATTTCTTAACATTTTATGTACCTATTCACACACAAGTACATAATTACATTTATAAACAAAAATAATTTAATGGTATAGAATCAGTCTGGAACCTGACACAACCTCACAATCTTTGTGATCTTTTACAATCTCATAAGCTACGGTTTCATGGTAAACTGAAACCTGTTTGTAGACTCTGAAAGCTGCACCAAGAACACTACAACAGGCACAAAACTCAACCTCCTGGTTCAGAATTAAGTAAAAAATTTCGGAAGCTAAGTTTGTACCAGCTGGCTTTATCCTGGATCAGGTGTCATTTCTCATCCCAGAGATAAAACAAAACCTTAAAGCTGGCTTAAACTCCCTACCATATGTTATTACTAATTTGACAGAAATTTGGTAGTATTTCAGTACTTGATCTACATAAAATTTGATGTCCCTGCCCATGGCAGGGGGGTTGGACTAGATGATCTTCAAAGGTCCCTTCCAACACAAACCATTCTATGATTCATTCTATGATTCTATTATATCATATGGTGACCTGCCGCACTGCAGGTGAAATATTAAAGGTCACGAATATGCAACCCCAGTCACATTCCTGCAAAACAGTCAAAAGATGGCTACAATGTTCACCACAGGAAAAGGCCTTGCCTCATCCTCACACCCAGCACACCTTTCCAAAGGCTTAATACTGATGAAATAGGGAAAAGGACAAGAGGTAGTTCCCTACAGAGAGGGAGGGGAGGAAAAAAAGAAGCATAAGAAGCACACCACATTAAAGGGAAACGGAGCAAAAACTGGGCAGCAACAGCAAGTTAACAGCACAATGTATTACAGTACTTACCATCACCAGCCTCAAAGTCCTTGAATGCAAGTTCTGAACCTGAGTCATCAAGCAGAATCTCACCATTTAAGGTGAACATCATAGTGTGCTCATTCATGTCAACCATACATCCAACAACATCTCCTGCCAACCAAGAGCGGCCAAAATGCTCATTACCCTGATGCCACCGCTGTGCCTGAAAAGGATTTAAAAGAATTTCAAGGAGTAATAGTGACAATGAATGCATTCCTCTCTCCCTTAGTGCTACAACTAATAATTAGCCCCCTCAATTAAGACAGCACTAAAATTAACACTTTCACAGAACATCATTCCAAAACAATGCCTGTGAGTACTGCAAGTTGACGTTGAAAATCGAAATCCAACAATTAACTTCTTGCGATGACCCCTCACATCAGTGTTGTAAAACGTTGCTAAGAGAGATGACAGGGAAAATTGCTATTTCAACATTTTAGTAACAAGGAAAAGTATGGCTTATTTTTCTGCAGAAGCTCCCTGAAAGACTTGTAATGAAAATAATATGCTATAATTTACAATATTAAATAGCTGCTTCACAAAGTTTTTTTAAACATTTACTTTTATTTAATCTAGTAGCCTATAAATTCATTGCTTCCAAACAAATTTTATTGTTTCCTTAAGTGTAATTCTGAAAATGTTGTGTACAAAATAAATTAAACTTCCTGCCATACCAGATTTTGGAAGAAACAGAATTGTCTGTGGATGGGATGAGCACTCTGAGCTTCTTGATAGATTCCAGAGTAGCCAAGGGCATGATTAATGATTCGTATGCCTGACCTTCAAGCCAAAGACTGCAAGGGCTTTGGACGGGGTCTTAGATTGGAATTCAAATAAATTAACATCTATTAAGAACTAGTGTAACATGCATAAAACAAAGCAGTGTTAATAATAAATAGGTTCCCAACTCATATATTCCATCAGAAGTAGATTTTTATCCCCTGTATCCATCCTCAAAATCCTACAAAACAAATAAGCCTTTCTGTGTATCCTGAAGGTCAAAAGTTTTCTCCAACCAAGGAGAGAACCCATCAAAATCAAAGATAACAAAGTAGCTTTGTGGATTGAGACGTCAAGGTCAACACCAAAGGTTCAGAATGCAAACTACTATACAGCTATTCTAGTAAAAAGATGGGACTTGAACAGTTTACTTAAGCCAATCAGATATTTTCCAAACCCAACTTTTCTGTTCTCTTTTTAAAGTCTCTTCTCATGTAATCCAAAACCAGAAAAAAAATTAAAATCCAACATTATGAATAAAATACAGCCTGAGAGCTTGATCTGACCAGGAACAGCCAGGAATACTGTTCATTTCTTCTACATATTGTAGAAAGGAAATTAATTCCAATATCAGACACAAGAAACATTTTGACATGAGTCATCAGTAGCCTTAATAGCAATTAAGGTTTCGAGAGAGGTTACACTATTTATTTACATAAATAAAAAGTTTTAATGAGTCATTTAATCTATTAAGTGAAAATCAGTAACATATAAAATAGTTTGCTCTCCTGTATATTTTTACTACTAGATTTCAATCTGTCATTGTCTCATGCAGAGTTAAATTTGAGCAAAAATTACTGCTTCTAGCATACTTCATTTACTCTAAACTGCAAGGATTTCCATGAAAACCTAGGTATACTCTGTGTAACTCTTACATTTGTATAAAAAACTGTTATCAAAGTTTGCCTCAAACACTTACTGCTAATAATCTTAACCACATTTATTCCCTAATGGCACTTCTTATAAAGAGAACTACAGAGTAAAAATTTAAAGAAATTATTCATAGCTAATTACAGCTCTTCCAGTATTTTGAGTTTGTGTAAGTAAGTCACTTATATTTTCAATGCTTTATGTATACTGTACAAATACTGTGAAGCTGTGAAAAAAATAGAAATGCCAAACCCTGCTCATTAATTTTTCAGGTGACATTGATCCTCCTTATTCTACGTAGGCTCTCAAAAGAGAGAAATAAATTTCATAAAACACAAATAAAAGAAGAGAAGGCAATGAATTTGAGGCAATGATACATGGAATAAGACGCAAAATTAAAAATTTTTTAATCACTCATATTATTACAGCTAAACATATACAAACCTTAAAGCCATCAAAAACAAAAGCTTCTTCATCTGAGCCAAGTTCCTGATCTGGCAGACAACCTGGCCTGGTCCAGCCAACTCTCATGTCTCCTGCAGTAACTGCCTCAAACTCAAAGTACCACTTCCCAGCCTTCACTGCATAAGTCTTTTCTGTGCGGAAGATCCTGAATTTTTCCATTATCCCACTGCACACATCCAGTCTTGTTGCTGCAAGGTTTAAAAAATAAAGAAAAAAAAAGCCTAATGCAGGAAGTACTGTATTCAACGACTGACAAAATGAAGACATTGAAAACAAAAGGCAAAGGAATCCCTCTGAGCATAGGCACGCAAAGAGGAAAGCGCCTGCAGAACAGCCTTATCAGGAAAGCACCCTTGCCCATTATGGGGAATCAGCACATTTGGGTACCTCTCTGAAATGACTCTACACCACTAATTCATCCAGCATGGGGGGCGGGGGGGGGGGAACCAAACAAAAAACCATGACACACCAAAACTTAGAAGTCTCAGTTACAGGGCTACAATCCTCATTGGGATCACAGAAACACGGTGGGATAACTCATATGACTGAAGTATTGCATTGGATGGATACATGTTTTTTAGGAAGGACAGGCTGAGAAGGTTATGAGGAAGAGTTGCCCTTTATGTGAGAGAGCAGCTGCAATGCATGGAATGCCTTGGAATGGTTCAGGAGCCAGTTCAGAACTTACGGGTCAATGTATGCAGGCAGACCAATATGAATGCTATACTGGAGTACCCCAGGCGTACTAGGGTCTACAGGGGTATTGGAGCCACTGCTGTTTAACATCTTCATTTATGACCCAGATAATGGAACAGAGTACACCCACAGCAAGTCTGTAGATGACACAAAACTGGAAAGAGCAGATGATGCACCAGATGGTTATGCTGGCATTCAAATGGACCTCAGCAGTCTGGACAATTCCTCTGAGAGGAATCTCATGAAGTTCAATAAGGGGAAATGCAGTCCTGCACCTGAGGAGGAATAACCCCAGTGAACAGAATACACTGGGGGCTGAGCAGCTAGAAACTAGCGCAGCAGAGAAGGATCTGGAGGTCTTGGTAGACAAGTGGAACATAAGCCAGTAATGTAGCCTTGCATCAAAGAATGACAGAAGTATCCTAGACTGCATAAGGAACAGCCTTGCCAGAGGTACAGGGAGGTGATCCTTCCCCTCTACTTAGAGTCACAGAATCATTTAGGTTGGAAAAGACCTTTAAGATCATCAAGTCCAACTATTAACCTAACACTGCCAAGTCTACCACTAAACCATGTTCCTAAGCACCACATCTACCCATCTTTGAAATACCCCCAGGGATGGGGACTTAGCCGCTTCTCTGGGCTGCCTGTTCCAATGCTTGATAACCCCTTCAGTGAAGAAACACTAGCCACATCTGGAGTGCTGGATCCAGTTCTGGGCTCCCCAGTACAAGAAAGACACCAAATTACAGGAACAAGTACAGCACAGGGCCATAAAGCTGAATAAGGGGCTGGAGCATCCTTCTTATGAGGAGAGGCAGAGAGAGCTGGGACTCTTCAGCCTAGAGAAGGCTTAGGAGGGAATCTAATTTATTAGTATAAATATCAGTTGGGAGAGAATGAAGAAGAGGGAGCCAGATTCTTCTCAGTGGTGCCCAGTGAGATGGCAAGAGGCAATGGACGCAAGTTGAAAAACATGAATTTCCTTCTGAACACAAGAAAACACTTTTTACTGTGAGGGTGGTCAAATACTGGAACAAGTTGCCAGAGAAGTTGTGGAGACTCCATCCTTGGAGATAATTAAAACCCATCTGGACATGGTCCTGGACAACCGGCTTTAGCTGACCCTGCTTGACCAGATGATCTGAAAAGGTCTCTCCCAACCTCAACAATTCTGTGATTCTGTGAACTGGGGTCTCAGTTGTTTTAAACAAAACAAAACCACCAGGCATACAAACCTCAACAAGATACAGACTAAATTAATCTTCCAATCATCATAAAAGACAAACGTTTGTCTAAGACAAGATTCTTCAACTGAGACATCTCCTTTACTTAGGGACTGCAAGCAATTCACCTAATCTTCTCATTTATATTCTAAAAGTAAGATTTTTTAGGTATGTCATTGTTATAAACATTTATTACTACATTTCTTAGTTATTATAATAATAGAAGGTTGCAGTTTAGATGTTTTTGCAGAAGCAATGGAGAATGGAGGATAAGAAACATAAAGGGAAGTCTTGCATGAAGCTTTAACAGCAACAACAAAAATCCCAAAGTGATTATACCCCTGCTTCAGGAAAAAATATATTAACTTCTGTGAAGATAAAGGGCAGCAAGTCTGGAAAGAATAAAGGCCCTTAAGGATGGCATAAAAGTAGTGTTAAAGGCAACTCCTGTTCAAGGCAAGGCAAGTTACTGTTCAGGAACAAAGGAAAACCTAGTCACAGACAAGGTACTATTTAGAAAATATTATTCAGCTACTGAAATAACAGAAATAGCAAGAAGCCAAGTTTTAAATGTGTTGACTATTCTCCTTTATTCTCTCAAACCGGTGAGGAGGTAGTCAAATGACCAGATTTCATAGAGTGCCTAAAAACCTGCAACTTCTCACTTCAAAGTTAGTTTGTCAGTTGTCAAGCTGAGATGAAGAAAAAGAGCTTGTTCACATTTCTTGTCTAGTGCAATGGAGTGTAAAATAAATTAAGATTAACAGCTGTGTGAAAACTAGATGTTTCACAGACACGGAGTCATTTTGTTAAGTATCTGTAGCATGATCACACTTATCACAGCTTATAATGCTTCATTCCAAAATTCTCTTAATGGCAAGTGATTCATAACAAGCTAGTTTTAAGAGTGTTTAAGTTAAAATTCACTCTTTGTCAGGTAATTACAAGTATCTTTTCTCAAAGACCAAAATGGCTGCATGAAGAGTTTCAAAGGAAGCTAAAGTTAAACTTTGACACATTCAACTTATTCCTTCTAAACATATTCACTGATTCTCTTACTCCACAAAAGCATAATGACATAAAAAATAGTGAAAAAATGTAAGCTGGGTTGTTATTGGGCTGCTTCAGAGTAAGAGGAGAAAAGAAACTTCAAGGAAAGGGTAAAAATGTAAACGTTATTCTGTCTGCTCTGTAACAGCAGCAGGAACAAGCTTAGTTTGTGCCTCACATTCTGCTTTATAACATTTGTGGAATGTATAAGCAAAGATTTTTAAAGGGAGAAAAAGTATGCTGGTACATGTACCACTTTGAGACACGTAAATAAATCTATTTTCTCCTTTTTTCTTGACAGCTAACAAACAATAAAGTTTCAGACTTGGATCTCTACACTCTAATCCAGTTCTCCACCTTCTACATCTACCCATCCCAGTTCTTTGGTGGGTTATCCTGCTCCTTTGCCCCCACTTCCACTCTTTTCCTGCATTATAGAATCATAGAATGTTTTGGGTTGGAAGGGATCCCTAGAGGTCATCTAGTCCAAACCCCCTGCAGTGAGCAGGGACACTGCTAACTAGATCAGGTTGCTCAGAGCCCCATCCAACCTGGTCTTGAATGTTTCCAGGGATGGGGCCTCCACTACCTCTCTGGGCAACCTGTCCCAGTGTTTCACCAACCTCATTGTAAAGAATTTCTTCCTTATATCCAGTCTAAACCTACCCTCTTTTAGTTTAAAACCATTACCCCTTGTCCTGCCACAGCTGTCCCTGCTAGAAAGATTTTCCCCATCTTTCCTATAGGGCCCCTTTAAGTACTGAAAGGCCGCAATCAGGTCTCCCCGCAGCCTTCTCTTCTCCAGGCTGAACAAGCCCAACTCTCTCAGTCTGTCCTCATAGGAGAGGTGCTCCAGCCCTCGGATCATTTTTGTAGCCCTCCTCTGGACCCGCTCCAACACTTCCATGTCCTTGTGCTGAGGGCACACCATCTATTCCAGATCAATCTGTTAAAACAGAAATGTACTTTTGTTTCCACAAACCACCAACCTTAGACTCACCTACTCTAGTTTTCTTCTTTCCCTCACTGCACTGAACATACTGTCTTGAAAAATGCCTTTATTGATTCATCTACAGCTATGTAGCATCCACCTGCTACCTATCAAAAACGTTCTCATGAATATTACTTGACTACTACTACTCATGAGCTTACTTGGTGCCTTGGAGATGGCCATACCTAACATCCTTCTAAACACTTTTAATCCTATCTTCTTTCTGCCTTCCTTAATATTTTGTATCAGTGAGTTTTCTCTCCCTAAACTGCTTTTCACTACTCTACACATTTTCTTTAAGTAGTATCTTCTGCTAATATCTTCAAGTAAAACCTTGTATGGTGAGTACATACAAACCTCCCTCACTGTTCCTTACTTATTACATAGTCCTACAGTCTGTTTCTGAAACTTCTTTCCAAGACCTTACTATCAATTCAAACATAAGGTAGCTTGAAATGACAAAAATAGCATTTTAAAAAGATTAAAACAATTTTACAAAGCACAAGAAGCAATGCTGAATCAAGCCCTTGATCTTTCTTCCTTCAGTTTTCTCAACTGTTCTATTCTCTGATATTTTATAGAGTTTTATTTCCATTAATCAAATCACATAACCCAGGGATCATGCTGACTCTTTTTCTAGAGTATGCCTAAGGTATTCTGGATCTTCTTCCACATCTGCAAGGCCCATGCAGCCTTTGAAAATTCGGTATTCCTGTCTGACCACTGTAATTCTTCCTCTTCCTGAATTTTATATAAGCTCAAATATGTCTGCACCTACTTGTCTGTTTGATAAACCATGTTAAGAACCTCTCCCTTTCTCTTCTGTTTTCTCAGCCAAATCAAGGTTCACATTTCCAATATTATCTTGAATAGCCTATAAAATCACATCCCTCAGAACTTACTACCACTTCCCATGCCACCAAATGCCTGACTTTGGTTAGTTCAGGCTCATTAAGTTTCCTGTAAACAACTCTGAACTCTCTGCCAAATAATTCTTTATCAGTAAAATTTTATCTTTGATGGTCTACGCAATTAATGCCTTAAAAAACACTTCTGAAGACCCTCAGTACCTCACCTATACAGGAGATGGACTACCACAAAGCATGGGAACCGAGAATTTGTTGTCTTTTTACATTCTAAGTAACCTAATGCTTTCTAGATTCTAAGTAAACCCAAAAATACAGCTGCTGTGGGAAACCAGTAAGTAGTAGTAGTAGTAGTAGTAATAATAATACTAAAGCATAAAAAAATCGATGCTATAGAGCTTTGTAAATCAATGTTTAAAATAAAATTAATGAACAGATGCAGAACACCACTAGAGGGCTCTAAATCCTTTAATAACAGTATGGATTTGGGCTGATGAAAGGGGATCCCTGTGACACGTTTTATGAATCTCAAAAACTGGAGAGGCTCATGAACTGTAAAAATCTAAGTCCCCAAAATGAGTATAAAAATCTTTCACTGAATGCAATTCCAGTATTGTTAAATAAAGAGCAGTCTGTGGGACATGGTTCTGCAGTTCCTTTCCTCTGGGAATTTTGCAACAGGATGGATGACACCTTTCAGATGCAAGGATTGCAACTGTGTTCTTTACATTTCACTAGTAACTCCATACATAGAACTATCTCAAGGATCTCAGCACTGTACGGAAAAAAAAAAATTTCCAGCAGTTCATTGCCAAAGAAAGGCAGGGTCACATAGTTCTCAGAGTTGAAATGAGGAAAGGGGATGAATATTGTTCAGTGGGATTTGAAGGAAACTGTGGAAAATGAGAGTGGTCTCTCCCCCTCCCCCCCTACACCACTGGACAGCCCCTTTATCTACTCCAGGGGCAAAAGCCAACCCACTTTCTCAGAACCAAGCAGAAGCCATGCTTGCTCTCTCTATGCAGCATCTCCTTCCCACAGTGGGAGGGAAAGAAATTCCAAGATTATACAACAGCCTTAAACTCTCCAGACTAGGCATAGGTAGATTTAACAGTGAGACCAACACAATCTACTTCACTAGGAAACAGATTGTTTTGCCCATTCAGCAATCCAGCCTTGTTACACAATGATGGTAAAACTGACAACTCGTATTTAGAAGCATAATTTAATAGCAGTGGTACGGTACCAAGAATATCCCTCTCTTGTGTTCTGTTTTACAACTTGATCTCAGCATAACAGAAAGGTGTTGTTTTAAAAGCCAATATCTACAAGAGAATTTACTTTACATTATGTCTCCTGATTTCTTTTACTTTCTTTAACTTTCTTTTACTTTCTTATCAGCCTCACCTCTGTGCCTGGGAAGATCATGGAACAGATCCTCCTAGAAGCTATGCTAAGGCACATGGAGGCCAGGGACATAATTCGAGATAGCCAGCATGGCTTCACCAAGGGCAAGTCCTGCCTGACAAACCTAGTGGCTTTCTATGATGGTGTGACAACAACAGTGGACAAGGCAAAACCAACAGACGTCATCTATCTGGACTTCTGCAAAGCCCTTGACACGGTCCCCCACAACATCCTTCTCTGTAAATTGGAGAGCTACGGATTTAATGGGTGGACTGTTCGGTGGATAAGGAATTGGTTGGATGGCCACATCCAGAGGGTAGTGGTCAATGGCTCGATGTCCGGATGGAGACCGGTGATGAGTGGTATCCCTCAGGGGTACGTACTGGGACCAGTGCTGTTTAATACATTCATCAATGACTTAGAGAGCGAGATCAAGTGTACCCTCAGCAAGTTTGCAGACGACACCAAGCTGAGTGGTGTGGTTGATATGCCAGAAGGACGGGATGTCATCCAGAGAGACCTGGACAAGCTGGAGAGGTGGGCCTGTGTGAACCTCATGAGGTTCAACAAGGCCAAGTGCAAAGTCCTGCACCTGGGTCCGGGTAACCCCCAGTATCAATACAGACTGGGGGAAGAAAGGATTG